CCCCAAAACCCCAAAACCCCAAAACCCCAAAACCCCGATTTGGGATAACGAGATTAAAAGATATAATAATAAAAAATTGCGCAAAATGGAAACACAATACAGTAAGAAGAGAGTTCAGGACTTTATTGAGATTTCAAAGGCAGATCCTATCAGAAGATGAGAGGAATTCATGGTTAATTTGAGGAAAGAAAGGTTCCGTGAGAGATCTCGCCAGCACCGTTACAATATCACTAAAATTAAAGGTAATCAATTTTTCTAATATTTAGGAATATGATCAAAGAAAGAATTGATGTGCATAGGAAATAATTGGAACAGTAAGCCCTACTTTGATCTGTAGAGTATAGATATTACCAACCCACAGTAGAAGAGGAACACAGATGAAAGCAAGAGGCCGAGAGTATAATCGACAATATTGTGAAAAATTACGATTACACTGAAATGGGAGAAGTTATTGATCATCTAAACGAAGTCACTTATGATCATACTGAAGAGACTGACAGAGAAGTTCTCTGTAATATTAAAATTCTTAGAATTGTATTAGCCAAAAAGAACTGAAGCTTTAATCCTGAAATGCAGCAATATTTAATCAGTGCTTTGATTAACATTCTTGAAAAATTCAGACTATCAAGATTTGGATTTTTGGATATACAATACGAAGCAATCTCCTTGCTGATGCAGTTCACTGCTCATCATAAAATGGATCTCTCGATTATCAGACAACTTAAGAAGATTAATGTACTACCTCATTGTGATATCCTTGTGGTTATGATAAACTTATGATGAGATGGGAAGGAAGCAGTAATTGAAGTTTTTGAAACTTTTGATGTTCCAAAGATGATAGAAGATTATATTTCAAATATTGAAACTTGTTTCTGAAAGTTTATTGATGAGTATAGAAAGAATGGGATAATTTTAGATATTTCGACTGCCCATTGAGATTGTGCGTGTAATCTAGAGTTGGTAAAAGAAAGATTACTAATCTTTGCATCCTTATGCAAGTGATTGACCGCCTTTACTTCATCCTTTGTTAAAGAGGAATCCTTAATTTACACACAATTCAAGGAATTCTTAAAGGCTAGTATAGTTTATATGAAGAATGCTCTTGATATTCCCTTAAAGCCAGATGAGAAACTCTTGACCTCAAAATTATTTTTGCTAGAAAGCCTATCATGAGTAATAGCTCATATAGAAGATGGTGAGATTCTTGACTCCATATGAGACTCTCATTTTGAAGACTCTCTATCTAAAATCATAATAGAAAATACAGACCATAAATTAATAGAGGAAGCTCTAGACCTAATAACAGATCTACCTGCAAGCAGTAAATTCATTGTTCCCCTACAAATTGTATGCTCTAAAGCTCCTGGAATTGAGTTTCAAATGGTGAATATTTTGATCAATTTCATTTCTTCAGGTGATGAAGAGCTTCTTACTGAGTTATTTACAGAGAACATAACCAATGCATTGCTTAATTATATGATATCAGATGATATGGAACTCCAATTGCTCACATACAAAACACTGAAGAATGTATGTGATGAAGGATACGCAGACATATTGGATAAGGAATTCATCAAGTATGCAATCGATGAACTCAATAATCCCAATAAAACCCCAAGACTTGTAAGCCACCTATTTTCCAACGAGATTTAGCTGCATTTTGTGTGCTTTTTGTTGCTCATTTTCTGATTCAAAATTGTATAGATCCTGTACATACTCGGATTTATTGACAGATATCTACAAGCTGATGAAGTAGAGGAAGGAGTATATTTTTATAACACCGTGAGCTCGTATCAAGGCCTTGAGAAGATATTTGAACTACAGGATTCAGAAAATTACGATATTAGCCAAAAATCTCAGAGGATTATAGAGAAAAGATTAAAAGAATTTGATTAATTTCAGTCAATTGATTCTTAATTCTATGGGGTTTTGGGGTTTTGGGGTTTTGGGGTTTTGGGG